GCCCCCAAGGAAATGAGAATTAAAAGGTAAAAAGCTGCTGGGAGCACCAGGCTGGGACGTAGGAAGGGCTGGCTGGGTCCTTCCAGCTGTAAATCCAATAAAAGAGGGATGGAGACAAATTTATTTTGTCCCAGTGTCCCCTCTCCTACAGGCAGAGAGAGGAATTCCAGATTTAATCCATTTAATTTGCTGCCCATTTTTAAACATAAATTATTCTTTTTATTTCTAGAATTTCATTTAAGTGTTCAGCCCAGACAATAAAATATAAAATATAAAAAACCCGCCTGGGGTGTGTGTCTGCTGCTTCCAGCCATCACAAATTCAGGGCTCAGCGTTACAGAAGAATCCATGTGAAACAGAATTAGGAACTTACAAATAAATAACTCTACAAAACCCCTCTCTTCTCTCAATGCCACAGAAACAAGGAAATAAAAAAAAAAAAAAAAAAAAAAAGAAAAAAAGGGGTTTTTTTACACATTTAGTTGGGGGATCCACCAGCAAATCCACCCCTTTGGCAAGAAACAGACGTGTCATAGGAAACAATGGTGGTAATTTTTATTTTACAGCTTTATACAGAAAACTTCCAACTCTCTGCACCCCAGCGAGTGTTAATAGCACACCTAAAAATGAATGTCAGGTAGCCAACATTCCCCAAAATGCTGAGAACTGAGGAAAATGTACAGGTTACTGAAAGCTACGACGTCACTACGAGGCAGGCATGGATTTTTTTGTTGACTTGTATAGCACCGTCAAGAACAGGTTCTTTATTTCAAAACTACAGTGAGGAATAAAAAAGTAGTCAATGGTAAAATATCATCCAACCCCAAAAAAAAAATCTCTAAAACGACCAAAAATAAAGTTAAGCTACCCTCTCTTCTCGCCCATGATTTATAATGTTATAAGTACTGTACAATTCTCTTTGTTTCTGTAATAATAATAATAACATTATTATTATTATTATTATTATTAAAATGCCTGATAATATTTAGTGGCACGAGTAAAAAAAAAAAATAAAATAAATTAAGAAGCAGAGGCCAATCACCAGACAGAAAGCTTGGGACATGGTCAATGAGCAACATTGGAATTCTGGACTCTGGAATTCCCTGGAGAGGACAGAGGCAGGAGGGATTCACTTGGTTGGCATCTTCTCTGCCAGGTGCTTCTGCTGGCTCTCGGCGTGCCTGGGGACAGCAAGGGGCTGTTATTCCCTGTTTTCCAAAAAAAAAAAAGCTGGAAAATCCAACCCCCCCCTGCTCCAGCACCCAGCTGGGAATTGCGTTTTCCCAGGGAAAACCACCACGTTTTTGTGGATCTGTTCCTGGCAGGAGGGTGGGTGAAGCCCTTTGGGTTTGGTTTGGGATTTCGGGGATTTTTCCCTCCCTTCCCACAGGGATGGGCAGCACTTTTCCCCCAAATCACAGAGGGGATCCCCTCCAAAGCCCCCAGGTAACACAGCCAGTGCCCCAGCACCCCCAAAATTGGAAATTGGGGGCAGGAGGAGAGCCCAGGAGCTGGGTGGCACCGGCCCAGCTCCAGCCCCCATCCCAAACCTCCCCTCCCCGCTGATATTTCATTTTTCCCAACCCCAAATGTTTCCCTTTGGAATCCCAGGCCTGGTGTGCTGACACTGCCCGAGGCCTCTCTTCTTCCCCAGCTCCTTCCATCCCCACTCTTGGCATTTCTGAATGGAATATTCAGAATATTTGGGAGCATTTGATATTCCTGGAGCCCATCCCTAATGATCCCAAAGGAAAACGCCTGCTGGGCCTTGCTGCCAGGGGACGGAGCCCTTGCGGGAGCCTGCAAAGCTTTTTGGTTTATCTTCTATTATTATTATTTAAATTAATGTTATTTGATACTATGTAATACGTAATATCTAATTACTATTAGATATAATACAACTATATTATATATATTATATATAACATAATATAAACTATATATTATATATAATATTGTATATATATCTATTAT